TAATGCATGTTCTAAAAGCGTAGTTTGAAATCACAGTAATTCATTTATTGTCAGATGTTTCTTCACTTGCTGAACTTGGTTAGAAAAACTCAAACTTAGTCTGAATATCTCTCATCAATCTTCTCAATGTTGACCAAAATCAAAATGTGTTTAAGAACTGTGCGAGCCTCTTATTATCTCATATGCTTAGTTTTGCTGTGAAAACATTATTTGCAGCTGTCCTTTTATTGCTTCTTACACTAGCTATAAAAGTAGAATGTATCTGACCAGTGATGGGAACTTTAGAATCACCTTAATAATTGAGAAACACTTGTTTATACTGGGTAAAAAGACAGTGCTAATTAACTTTTTACACTAATAGATGTTAACGTTGAACAGTTTTAGTCCAAAGTAAACAGAGTTTGCATTCATAGAGTTTGATTAGAAATGTCAGAAATACTGCTGCAAATTGCCCAGAAATTTCTGGCTACTTTACCAAATGTAGATTTTAAACTCAGAATCATCTTTATATGCAACAAGCGAACTTATTCTCAAAACTTTTCAAAGTCTATTAAGTAGTTCGGTAAAACAGAGTTCCTGTAATCTGTTTCCTGTTATGCACAAGTCATGGAAATGCTGAATTCTGACTTCACATTTGCTGACAGGGTTACTTTCATTTCCATGAGAAAATCATTGCAGTTAGTTCTTAATGAAGGGAAATGGAAGGACTGTCTGCTCTTGCTTTCCGTGACTTAATTTATTTTGTATGCAAAGTTGGTCAGTAATGCCTCATTGTTGGCTTATTTAAGTGAAGTGTTTACTTCTATTTGAAGTCTTGTTTCTTGTCTTCTTATGACTTGCTCTCAGGAGACAGCTCTACTAAATACATAAAAGAGGTGTCTTACAGCAGTGTAGAATGGGAAACCTCAACAAGAACACCAGCTTGTGAAGAGAGAGTTATGTTAGATCTGGGGAAGGAGAAAACTGCTAATGAACTTCAAAGTAATTAAATGGAGCCTATATGGAGAGGGGATCACTTACATTTTGCATTCGCATACACAGTTTTACAATTGTTTTCTGTTGAGTAATGATGGGGTCATCCTCAACAGATGGTGTTTTACCTGCAAAATGATATTCAGAACGGTCTTTCAAACTAATCTGGAAGTCTGTTGCATAGAACCTGATGTGACAACAGAGGTTCCTCTTTCTCCAAGATGCAACTTCTCGAAGTTACTAGAAGAATCTACATCTGACTTCACTGTCTGTCTGTCGTAGCAGTGGATGGTAGTTGCTTCTGAATGGGAGTGGAAGGTCTCATCAGTTCCCTCTGCTATGTGCTGCATTTATTTATTTTTAAGTAGGCCAGTACTGGGCTTTTAGTGATCTTGGCTATTACTGTTGTCACCAGTAAGGAGCAGATAAAGACACTTAAAAAAGAAAAATTGGCTAGACGGGCAACTTCCATGTATAAAATTTTATACAATGTGTGTGGGGAGGGACAGTGTTGAGGAAAAACAACCAAACCACAAATAAACCGTGTTGATGACATATGTGTATTTAAGAGGATATGTACTTGGATTTCGTGAATTGAACTACTTTTCCTCTTAGCCATAGAATACATCTGTCTTTATCCTAAGTACAGAGCCTGAACTCTGATGCTTATTGTATGAATTATTTGAGCTATTCCTCGTGAACATAACTACTGAATGAAAGAGGTGTGGATTGGCTGTATAGCTTTTCTAAAGCAGAAAAATGTCTGCTCTCTGCATTGAGGTACCGTACTTAATTTGACATAGGTACACATATGTCTCCAAACACGCGTAGAAGATAATTTATAGAATTGCCATCAGGTTAATCATCAGAACTCTTGCTCATGTAAATTATTGAGCACTTATCAAGTCTAGATGTGCTTATAGGTAGAGCCTGATATTGGTAAGATAGGCTACACCTGACATTATATTCACAAGTAAAAACATGTATTTCAGTTGTGCCTAGCTTAAACTGCATAGGCCCTCAAATCTGAGAGCCTGCTTTGGACTTGCTGCTTTGTTTAATCCTTAATATATTTTTCACATAGCCTCTTAGCCTCTGATAACTACTGATAATGAATAAAAGATGTGACTTTCAGGGGACTTTATAATTGAGGAAAGTGTCTGTTCTGTTTCGATGTCATGCTTTCTGCTATTCGATGTGAAGTCAAGAACCAGAGTAGGACTGATTAGAAAACTTCGTTTAAGTAGAAAAATTAGTTCCTTTGCAGTAACCTTCAGTTACAGTTAGGGAACAAGATGATGATGGGAATTGGTTGTTCTGGTTCATTCCATTCTCTGAAGGTTTGCAAAGGAAGGCTGCAGCCAGAGACTGGGTCATGGCATGCTACCCTTCCTGTGGCAGGAAATTTGTGGAGCTGCAGTATAGAAAAGTCCCCATAACAGCTCCCATTATGAAAAGTTCAGAAGCAGTCTGCGTTCAGCATATTTTCATCAATGTGTTGGTTTAGCTAGAAGAAACACCTTAAGGCAAAGGGAAAGAACATTTCATGAAGGAGAATTTTATTAGTTTTTCTGGAAGAAATGCCTAACATTTGTTTGTAAATGTTTATCTCCAAATTTGGGTACAGTAACAGCATTTGAGTAGTTAAATAAGAATTTTATTATGTGTTCCAATTGAAAATATCGGTGAGGTCTTATCTATAGAGTTATTCTGGTGTTTTTGTAATGTGGTGCCATTCAGGTTTTATATTGAGTAAATACAGAAAGTTAATAAGCTACCTATTAGTACACCAGTAGTCAAAATTATTGTAGGCTTCAAACTACAAGGAAAAATGGTTAGATAGGAGTGAGAGCAGAATGAAACTGTTTAGACTGGTGCTCAAAAGAGTAAGATAACATTAAAAAAAAAAAAAACAGATTACACTTCCTACTAATTGGTGTTCTTATCCTTTTGTTTTGCAAAATTACAAAAGCCTTACTCTGCAGATAGTCCTTTGGAGTTGGATGTATGTACATGTATTCAATTTACTTCTGCCTATACTTTTTACAGACCTTTCTGTAATTGCACTTACACTAAACTGATCTGCATTTTGAAGAACTTTTTTGGGTTACGATGTACTGCAGCCTTAGGAACTGTGATTTTTTAGGTATTTTTTTGTTTTGTTTTCCCCAATGCTTGGAAGAAGTAAAACAAATAATCCTGGCTAGTAATCTGAATCAAATTCCCTTTCATCGTCTGTTATTTGCAGATGTATGTGTCTATGCATGGTGTACTTCAAGGCAACTTGCTATGTTATTGACTGATGTATTATCTAGTGCAGTTAACACTTCACAGAAGTTGGCCTACTACTGTGGCTGCTGCAAAACTCTTCCATCCACCTGTGGCTGCTTCCACTTACTTAAAATGTCAGATCCCTGCACACCTTCTCCTCCTTCCTCCCATCTCTTCTGCTGAGCCATACAGCTGTTTATGTCCTGGTAGTGATCTGGATCACCAGTCTTTATTTTTATTTGCCAGCTTTATTTTTCAGCCGTATAATCTCCCTGATCATGTGCACCTGAAGGCTGCACAAACTTTTCCAAAACAGAAAGGACAGAAATGTTTGGAGGGGTGTATGACCAAACCTTCAGGCTCCTCTCACTGGAGATGTAGAGCTGCTCTTGTGGAAAGTCCAGGATTTTAAGAAGGATGTGAAGGCCCTTGAATGTGTCCAGAGGAGGGCAACAAAGCTGGTGAAAGGGCTGGAAAGCATGTCCTGTGAGGAGTGGCTGCGGACCCTGGGGTTGGCGGTTGGAGAAAAGGAGGCTGAGGGGCAACCTGATTGCTCTCTACAGCTTCCTGAGGAGGGGGAGTGCTCATCTCTTCTCCTGGGATCCAGTGATATAACACATTGGAATGGCTCAAAGCCGCACCAGGGTAGGTTTAGACTGGACGTTAGGAAGCATTTCTTTACCAATAGGGTGGTCAAACACTGGAACAAATTTCCTAGAGAGGTGGTCAATGCCCCAAGCCTGTCAGTGTTTAAGAGGCATTTGGACAATGCCCTTAACAATGTGCTTTAACCTCTGGTCAGCCCTGAAGTAGGCAGGCAGTTGGGATAGATGATAATTTTAGGTCCCTTGCAACTGAAATAGCCTGTTCCATTTCGTCCTTCTTCCCCTTCCACTCTGAGCATGAGTGCACTTTTTCTGAGGGCATGCTTCTGTGTCTTTTGTAGCAGCAGTGTTATGGATCTGAAGCTTTTGGAAGGAAGGAGGGGAATGGATATTTTGACAGGAAAACTTTTATAGTAGCAGTGCTATTATGCTGTGCCTTGCCTTGCCTTCCTTTCATTTCTATTGTTGCTTACTCCTGTCCGGAGGAAGTTCACCATAGTGCCAGAGGTGATAAGCTGGCTGAGTTTATTAATCAGTGTTTGGGGCAGTGTCTCAGTTTTAATGATGAGGTATGCCTTACTTACTGGAAAATGTTTTAAGTTTTAAAACTAAACATAAGAATAGGCAAAGGGAAACTACCTGTGAGAGAACAAGGGTTAAGTGATTTTTGTTGGGTTTTTTTTACCAATTTTACAAACAACAGAGGAAGATACATGAAGTGTGAAGAACTGGGGAGGCAGGATATCAGTGGTGCCAAAGTGTGAATTTTAGTTCATGGAAAATAATGACAGATAGGAGAGAATGAAGAGAGAGTACATTATTAAGTATGTGTTTAATAAATGGGAAGTGAAAGAATACAAGACCTGTAGAAATCTAAAAAGAAATGGGTTTGAATATGGCCTAGAAATATGTAATAGAGGAGTTGTCATTAGAAGGGTAGTAGTAGCTGCTGAGATGATTTTAGTTTGTTTTACATATAGGGGATTGAAGGGAACTAACAACAATTGGTAAAAAGCTGAAGCATTAGAAATCATTCACTTCATGGAACTTGATCTGTTATTAAAATGCATACCTTCTACGCTTTGTTCTGTAACTGCTCTAGCCTGTTGTGTTTCATAGTTCTGCTTTCTTGTTATTAATCTTTAGGGGGAAAGGAACAATGGCTTTGATGTCCTCTATCACAACATGAAACATGGACATTTGTCAACAAAAGACTTAGCAGACTTTATAAGAGAAAGGTAGGTATTTATCCTTTGTAATCCTGGCTCTTTAATCTACTGTTTGTGGGGTTTATCTAAGTTTATCATTATGTTTAACAGTAACATCCAAAATAAATAAAAATCAATGACCATTTTTAAAATATCTTTTATATCCTACAAGAATATCTAGGTTTCTTCTATTTGCTTAGAACTGAATAGTGACTCTTAAGCATCAATTAATAACAAGCTTCTAATATTTCCAGTTTGAATTAAAAAATACGAGTAAAAAGCTAGAAGTGTCACATTAGGTGTCCAACAGTCTACTTGAATTAATCCCAATTTTTCATCATGTTTGGAAGAAAAGCAGTAATTTAAAGTAGCAAAAATTATCGAGCTTACCAATTATTTTTTTTTGCCGTAGATGTAGAATTAGGTTATTAGCAACTGCTAGTATGATTTTAAAAGTTATGCTTTCAGATTAAGATGTTGAGAAACTAGGTTTGTTAAAGAAAAGGGAGTGACGTCGGGACAAGAAAATAATATGCAGAAATATTCTCTGTGGGATGGACAGGACAGAACTGAAATCTGCAGACGTGACAACTTCCAGAACAGATGACCTAGTGCTTTTTTTAGTTCTTCTTTGTGAAAGACGACTGCTGCTGCTATGTTGAACATAAGACTTTCATTCTGGACAAAATTAATTGTTTGTCTGCTTCAGACTTTTGTCTTAATTCGGTTACTGACACCAGATGACATATGGAAAAAGCTTGCAAGAGTCTGATTGAGGACCTGTTTCAGTGAAGGTTTCTTGCGGTAAAAGCTGTCCAAAAAAACCAGCTGTTGTTTTCTGGGATATTTCATTGAAATTTCAGTTTTGGCCTCAAATAGATCTCAACAAAGAATTTCTTTTAAATTTCTACAAAATGTAACCACCACAAATCTGGCGGGTACTCAGTTGCACAGACATTTGCATAGTTTCAAAGTGCATTGGAGAAAATGACAAAAGTCTTTCCACTAAGTAATAATGCATGAGTTCCAGAGACCACGTGTGATGGGTAGCATCCTGTTGGAAGGACTCCACAACCCAAGGAATCTTGTGTTTCAAGAATCCCCGATTCCAGAGAACACATCATGAAGCCAGACAGGGTTCCAGTGAAATCCTGCATTGGATTGAGTGGAGGGATATCACACTGTTCATGTTTAGCATTAAATGCATAAGACTTCACAAGCTTGTACTTTTAATATTGACTGTTACAAATGTTTGCCTTGTGTTATCTTTGTGAGTGCCTGGATGTTTCCTTTGAGACCTGCTTTAATTTTTGGAATCACTCAGTTTTTATAACAGTAAGTCGTAGACCTAAGCTGTACATCACCTCGACATGTTTAATTTTATTAGTTTTATACCTGTTGCGTTGTGATTTACCTCCATATTTAGATCAGAAGCTCTCTCACACACTCTGCTTCTTATCTCCTTCATGTTGTATGCTTTCAGCATGATCCATTTTATTCATACTGGTCCTAAGGTGAAAGGTTATTTAAGTATATATGAGTAAAAATAACTGGATGCTATATCTGGCTTGGATTCTTTGCTTTATTGTAGTGACATAAATAACACTGGACAGTTCATTCTACACAAAATTCCTAGTAAAAAGAATGTGGTGTTGTAATTTTTCACTCTATAAGCTCCTTCAAATTAAATTTTAAATGAGATGTGCCTTTGCAATCAATAAATAAAGTATATGGACCTTTCTACACATACTAAAAATGTCTCCACTGAAGTTTCTGCCAGTTAATTCTAGTGACTTGTCAAGACAGACACATTTAATTTTTTTTCTGTTAAACAAGTTTAAATAACTTAAAATTGAAGATTAATGACCATGTGGGAATACCTGAGGAATCCACATGGCCACTTTATAGAATGGTAGATTTGTAGAATAGTTTGGTTTGGAAGGGATCTTCAAAGGTCATCTAGTCCAACATGCCCCTGCAATGAACCAGGACATCTTCAACTAGACCAGGTTTCTCAGAGTCCCGTCCAACCTGACCTTGAGTGTTTCCAGGGGCATCTACCACCTCTGGGCAGCCTGTCCCATTGTTTCACCAACCTCATCGTAAAACAATTTCTTTTTTTTATCTACTCTAAATCTACCCTACTTTAGTTTAAAACCATTGCCTCTTGTCCTATCACAACAGGCCCTACTACAAATTTTGTCTCCATCTTTTCTTATAAGCCCCCTTTAAGTATTGAAAGGCCACAGTAATGTCTCCCCAGAGCCTTCTTTTCTCCAGGCTGAACAACTCCCCCAGGCTGTCCTCATAGGAGAGGTGCTCCAGCCCTCTGATCATCTTTGTGGTCCTCCTCTGGACCTGCTCCAACACGTCCCTGTCTTTCCTGTGCTGAGGGCTTCAGGTCTGGACACAGTACTCCAGGTGCGGTCTCACCAGAGCAGAATAGAGGAGCAGAATCATCTCCTTCAACTTCCTGGCCACACTTGATGCAGCCTTCTGGGCTGTGAGCACACATTGCTGGCTCACGTCTGGCTTTTCATCAACCAGTAACCCTATGTCATCTCGGCAGGGCTGCTCTGAATCCCTTCATCATCCAGCCTGTATTGATACAGGGGGCTGCCCCAACCCATATGCAGGACCCCCTCATGAGGTCTGCACGGGCCCACTTCTCAAGCTTGTCCAGGTCCCTCTGTATGGCATGCTGTCCCTCAGGCATGTCAGCCGAGCTCAGCTTGGTGTTGTCCCTGAGCTTGCTGAGGGTGCACTCGGTCCCACTGTCTGTCATTGATGAAGGTATTGAACAGTACTGGTCCCAATACAAACCGCTAAGGGACACCACTTGTCACTGATCTTCATCTGGACCTTGAGTCATTGACGACTACCCTCTGAATGCGACCATCCACCCCATTCCTCATCCACCAAACAGACCACCCATCAAATCTATATCTCCAGTTTAGAGAGCAGGATGTGGGGGACAGTGTCAAAAGCCTTAGAGAAGTCCAGGCAGACAGCATCTGTAGCTCTTCCCTTATCTGCTGATGTAGTCACTCCTTCATAGAAGGCCACTAGATTAGTCAGGCAGGACTTGCCCTTGGTGAAGCTATGCTGGCTGTCTGGAGTCACTTCCCTGTCTTCCACATGCCTTAGCATAGCTTCTAGGAGGATCTGTTCCATGTTGTTGCCAGGCACAGAGATGAGGCAGGCGGATTGGTAGTTCCCAGAGTCCTCCTTTCTACCTTTTTAAAAAATGGGGGCAATGTTTCCCCTTTTCCAGTCACCAGGGACTTCACCTGACTGCCATGACTTTTCAAATATCATGGAGAGTAGCTTGGCAACTGCATGAGCCAATTCCTTCAGGACTCTAGCATGCATCTTGTCAGGTCCCATAGGCTAGCCTCAATGAGAGATCAAGAAATGTATTTTCTGTCCTTGTGCATGGATCAGGATGTGCCAAAGATATATGCAGCCATCTTACAGCATTGTAGTAAAACATGAAAAATTCCAGTTCTCATTAACACTCTGAGATTTACTACAATCTTAGTGCTTGTTAATTTATTTGACAAGGCTTCAATATAGTTCCTTAAGAGCAACTTGCCCTGAGATTGGAAAACATCTGTAAGTGATGCAGAGTAGCAGCAGTAAATTCAGTCCTTTCCAGTGACTTTCTCCCATCAGGGTATTAAATCTGGTATCCTGTCTGTTCTGTTGTGTTTTCTTCAGCCCTACTTTACTGATGCATCTCAGTATGCCAGGCTGCAACTAAAAAAAGCAGCTGAATGCCAAATAGGTATTTCTTTCCAAGTGAGGGGTGAATCACTGATCAGTGTCAGTCTGAGCTAGGGGTGGTTTGTGGCATATAGTTTGTAGTTTCAAAGGAATAGATGGAGTTTAAATATTTGGTGCCCTCACTTCAGTAAAAATGTTTACGACTGTCCATATCTAGACAGTGAAGCCCTTCATACCATTGTGAAGTTATTGTGGGACATCAGTTGATTTCCGAGGAAATAAATACGATGCAGTAGCTCACACTTACTCACATGGGTCGAATTCTTGATCTCAGAAGAAGTTTGATTGGGTGGTACTTCAACAATATTTTACAATAGTCCAGTTATCTTGACCATGTTCTATTTTGCATCTTTGTTTACTGCAAAAACGTGTTGCACGCAATTATCTTTTCCCCTCCTTCCGCCACAGACTATAGTCTGAATACTGGTTTGCATTACTGTTTTTCTCTAGAAATATGTAAGTAGGTGAAAAACATTTATTAGGAGCCTCCTACATGTACTGTTTTTATGCACTGACTTTTATGTACCTGATTTTCTGAACTGTTCCCTGTGAAAACTAAGTTTACATACATTTGAACTTTCTTCACATCTGTCCTTCCATTCCTTTTGAACATACTGGCCTTTTTTTTTCAGAAGTGGAGAGTGAAAAGTGAAAACTGCTGGATAGATAGAGGAGACAGATCTGAGTTGGTGATAACACTTGCAGCAAGTTAAAGTACTTAACCTTTGTGTGTACTGTTTAACAGTAGTCACCTGGTCAGTCAGGATTGCTGGAGTCTTCAGACTAGCTAGAGAATTTGATTTTTTTTTATGGAGTGATCTCAAAGAGAAAGGAAAAATGGTTGAGTGTATTTGGAGGTACAGACTTCTACAGAGGGCATAAAGGACACGTCTGTATGAAGTCTGTCTCTGTTACTTGCGCTGTTCAGAGTAGTGTTTTGGTTGTGTGCAGCCTCATCAGGGAATAGTCTGTTGTTCCCTTTTCTCCAGCCTTAGAAATAGTCATGAACAGATAAAAATTATGTAGGATGTGGGAAATTTTGTTTTTATTATAGTCAGCTTCAGGATTTTATTAAAGATTTTTCTTTCAAAACTTATGTAAGAACCTTCCGAAATTGCAGATGTTTCCTCTGAAAAAAACAAAAATGTTCGAAATGTGTTCAATTGTAATAATGTAATATTTCTGTATTGCATCTGGTGTTCCAACTGGATATCCCTAGAAGGAGCTGGTTTCCTCTTTGGCTGTGTTCAGTTAGTCAATACCAATTCAATTTTCAGCAGTGTTGTTTCACTTTTGCATTTTTGGTTTTGAGTATTTGTTAATGGTTAAATACTAAAACAACTGAGGGACAGTTGGATCTGTGGTTCAGAAGTATGTCTACTGAAAGATGAAATTTATTGGCAGGCAATGTGCTCGATGGTGGTAAATCTTAAGTGGGGCAGGTTATTTATCTGCTGAAAGTTAGATATCTTTGTTCTGTTTTTGATAAAGCATGTAGAAATTTTGTTTTTAAAGCAGTGAAAATGTAAGAAGGTTGGGCTGTGCCCACAGTTTTTCTTTCTTTAAATACTGGGAAGATTTTGTAGGTGAACTGTCTTGCATTTGTGTGTATTTAACACCTAAACTGTTTACATGTAAGAAGCCACTGTGCTCAGCTAGGAACTTAATAGGTATTGTGTTCGCTTTTCTCTAAAAGTCTTTCAAACATTTTTCTGCACCACTTGCCTGTAAGTGTCATAAAAAGAATCTCCTTGATCGGTTTTTTATGTATATATTCCCATTTAACTTTTAAATGTTTAACAGATTCCAATCAAAGACAGATTTTCAAATGGATGAAAATTCATTTACTGAGGTGTTCATAGTGTGTTACCTGTACATCAGAGTTCTCTGGAAAGTCGGGTGATAGGACAAATGTATACGTACACGCCCAACTAGTCACTAACAACATCTTTCAGTTGTCAGTGTTTGTAACTTGTGTGTTGATATTGCCTGGTAAATTGTGGAACTCCAGTTTTGTGGAGATTGCTCAGGTAAGTACGCTGTAAATTGCTCCAAAGAAAAGAGGTGTGGATTTTGGTGAGAAATCTTGTGTTTGAAAAAAAAAAAGAGACTGAGCTATCAAATCTGGAAAGCCTTGATAGAAGCTACAGCTAATTAATCAAGAAATATTGTTCATAATGGTAATTAAAAAAACATCAATGTCTCTTCTGGGTGTCTGCATATGTGCTTGTCACTCTGCAGTGAGTAAGAATTCCAAACCTTGGAAACTTCAACTTTTTCTTGTAATAAAAAATAAGTACCTATGTGGAAGGATGGTAAAGTTGTTTGACTTTTTTTATGGTGAATACCTTTGCTGTTGTTTGTAGGTGAGATTTAAAATATAGTTAAGTTACTGCGGTTTACAGTTTAAACACCTTCTGCCAACCGATTGTCCAACTGACTGGATAGTTATTTTGGAAGTTCAGTAGGCTTAAATACGTGCCCCTCTGTTTCAGATGACTACTGCTACTTTGCTTCATATTTTCATAAGAGAATTATTTTTGCTTGCAAAGTGTTGCTGTAAAGGAGAAATAAAAACCTCTGCCTCAGCAGTAGGTGGTTGTAGTCATAGTACAACTTGAGATAGACATGAATTCTTCATCTCCCTTTTTTTCTCTCTTTTGTCCCTGAATAAAGGTATGACACAGCAGGAAAGAAAGTGCTTTAAGCTTTTGCATTTTCAAGAAAAGGAAATTACAGTATTTACTCAAATCCAGGATGCTTCTGAATCTGAATTGACACTACATATTGAATATTGATTTAGGGGGAAAAATTAAAATAGTGCGTGTGTTTACCTTCGTAATCGGAGACTGATGGGAGAAGGACTTGCAGGGACTCACTGCTGTGATATGTTGTGTGTGACTACTATTCCATGGCAGTTGCCCCAGCAGAGGCTCTAAGGAGGAAATCTGTGCTGACCCTTGGATTTTGAATCTCCAAAAGACAAGTGAAAAAAAAAGTGGGTTTGAGTGCAGGAAAATATAATGAAACTTTATGTAGGGAAGATGTTTTCCAAAATAAATGAGAATGTATTGAGACAATCTTCTTTAAAAATTACTATAAAGAGTAGAGTACAATACTTTTCATTGCATGTTATTTTACTGTTTTCCAAATGCAAGTATCACTATGCAAATAAGTTAAACAAACAAACAGAAGAAAAACCAACCCTCCCCCCCTACAAAAAGACTAGGCAAGACCCTATTTTATTTAATGTGATTGCTCAGTAAGCATTCAGTTTGTTTATCTAAATGTTTTAATTACAAATATATTTGATTTTGTTGCTTTGTAAATCTCTGGTGTTTAGACATCCTAGGCAGGTGATTGTTATGTCACTTTGTTCTGACTATTACTAAAGAATGTTAAAGGCAGAGTGGAACAGCAGAAAGTATACGAAGGAAGGAATTGTCTTTTTCAAGTCTTGAGTCCCTAGGTTTTACTTGCTTCTGTTCCTGCAACATTCTGTCACAGGGTTTTTAGATTATTTTTTAAAAATATACTTGTATGATTTTGCATATAGTGTTGGGGGGGGCAGTCATTAACATGGAGTCATTTTCAGCTAAAGTAAAACGTCCTCTGTTTTGCACCTTTCGAATGCATGTTCATCTGTCTTCAAATATCTTCAACATTTCAATTGTGGTTTTGATGGCTTTCTTTGACAGGGCTACAATAGAGGAGGCATATTCAAGGTCAATGACAAAACTAGCCAAATCAGCTAGCAATTACACACAACTTGGGTAAGTGAGTGTGCATAAATAAATAACTGCATATGTGTTAAGAATCAAGTTTGATTCTGAATAGTTTATTGATGTTTAAGGTAGCATAACTTTGCCACCTTTAAAAGCGATTGTTAGTTCTTTAAAAGTTCTTTAAAAGCGATTGTTAGCTATGACAAAAACAAAGACAGTACAGTTCTTTATTCACAGTTTCAAAAAAAAGCAAAGGCCAAACACAGGGGAACTGTCTGTTCCTCTGTGTTTAAGGTTGAGTTCTTTTCAGACATAATAAAAAATGTGACTTTTTATTCTGTGCTTCCAAGGCTATGGTAATTATTCTGAAGAGAGAGCATATGGTCTGCAAATGTGGCAGTACATTTATTTATTTCTATTATTTCTGTTTTCTGGAGTGTTATCTCTGTCCTCAGAGGTGTTAAGAATGAGACTTTTCAATAAATTTTTTCAGTAGTTTAATGAAAGTTTTATACATGGGGGTATGTTTTCAAAAAGTGGAAGGAATAATGGGTATTTTTTCATTAGAAAGATTATGCCGATGAGAACTCGGACTTTTTAAATGAGACTAAATTTTTTTTATTTGTAGTAATCATAGCTAGAAATATGGGGAGCTTCTGTCAGTGGATAATTTTATACCATCTGTTGCTGTATCTGCATGTTAGTTTGGGTATCAGTGCTTTAAAGGCTATGTATAGTGTTAAATTTTCAGCAGCATTAACCAGGAAACTGAGGTAGGAGTGTATCTTTAGAATAGATGGAGAAGTCAATTTGGTATAGAAACCTGAATCTGAACCGGTCCGCCACCTTCCTTTGCCATACAGTTAATCTCTGTTAATCAGTAAATCCCTTTTCATGGCAGACCATCTTTGCTGATATTCTTTTCCTGCATCTTGTGGCTATAATGATGTAAGATAACTAGAAACTTAACTGACCAAGTAATTTCTGATTTGTTTGTACTATTCAAGTGTACATGTAAAAAATATTTCTACATCTTAAATTTTTTTGAGCTGCTCTTTCATCATCTTTAGGAATACCACTTGGCATTATTGTGTGCTGGTGATAGAAAAGATTAAGTGATCTTTGCTGTGTATTACTTGATAGGGTCAATACAGGTAAAACATAAAACTTGGAAAAATTAGTGGACAGGATTCCAAGTACATTTGTAACATTAATAAGAAGTTATAGCAGTTGTTGGGGTTTTTGTTTGTTTCAGTTCTGGGAGCAGAAGTGAACTTCTGTAAATTTATCAGTTATACTTTAGCACTATTAAATAAAAAAGGCATATTAAAAGTGAAAATTCCAGATGAACATTAAATACTGTTTTCCTCAATTTAGGACATTTGCACCAGTTTGGGATGTTTTCAAAACCTCAACAGAAAAACTAGCAAGCTGTCACTTGGACCTTGTGCGGAGATTACAAGAGCTAATAAAAGAAGTTCACAAGTATGGAGATGAGCAAATCAAAGTTTATAAAAAGGTTGTAATTTTTTTCTTATGCATGTCCAATGACTTGTTAACATCAAAGTGAAAATGGTTTGAGTTTGACAACCATGTGATATTTGGCAGACTAAAGAAGACGTTTCGGGAACATTAGAAGCAGTGCAAAATATTCAAAGTATCACTCAGGCTTTACAGAAATCAAAGGAAAACTACAATGCAAAGTGTGTCGAACAAGAACGTTTGAAGAAGGAAGGAGCAACACAGAGAGAAGTTGATAAGGTAGTTCTGTGACATCTTACTTTAATACATCGTGTTGTCAATCAGTAACACATTCACCTTGTATTAGTAAGTGAATTGCTCTGAAAGGGCTAACACTCAATGCCCTTGTTACTGAATTAAGGGGTAGGAGGTTTTGTGTTGCCCCTTCAATGAGACAAAGTGGGTAATTACATGAGTATTTGAAATCTGTTCCATTGAGAAAAAAACAAGTTAACATTTCTTTTGTGCTAATTTAGCACAAATAGGTTCCAATTTCATAGACCAAAAACCCAAGGGATGAATATATTGTTGTTGTGTTTAGTACTGTCCTTGGATTAGTGGGAAGTTTGATCCATTCACAGAATCACAAAATGGCTGAGGTTGGAAGGCACTTATGGAGGTCATCCTATCCAACCCTGCTGCTCAAGCAAGGCCACCTCGAGCCAGTTGCCCAGGACCATATTCAGACAGCTTTTGAATATCTCCAAGGATGGAGACTCCACAACCTCTCTGGGCAACCTGTGCCAGGGCTCAGGTTTGAAAAAAAAACAAAACCAAAAACGTTTCCTGATGTTCAGAGGGAACCTCCTGTGTTTCGGTTGGTGCCCATTGCCTCTGCTGCTGTTACTGGGCACCAGTGGAAAAAGCCTGGCTCCATCTTCTATGGACCCTCCCTTCAGGTATTTATATCTATTGAAAAGATCCTCCCTGAGCCTTCTCTTCTCCAGGCTGAACAGTCCCAGCTCTCTCAGCCTTTCCTCATGGGAGAGATGCTCCAGTCTCTCCATCATCTTAGTGGCCCTTTACTGGACACTCTCCAGTATGTCCATGTCTCTCTTGCCATGGACCACCTAGAACTGGACACAGCACGCCCGGTATGGCCTCACCAGTGCTGAGCAGAGGGGAAGGATCACCTCCCTCAACCTGCTGACGTCACTGTAGCTTTTTGTTGTTTTCAGGGAGCTAAGTAGTAGAGGAAAGAGGTCATGTTTCCCTGTCTCTAACTATGTCTTCTCTTTTTAAATCTTTATTCCTCTGCCTGTTTCCATTTCAATTCTTGTTAGAGTGATCTTAGTGCCTTTTATACTGCTGTCTTGATGGAGCAGATAGAGTCAGTTATTGTCTTTTCACTGATGACAAAAGTAATCCGCTTGACCATGTTCTAATTGTTTTATCTTTGATATAAATCTAGCTTTTTTTCCTAGCTTATGTCTCAAATGACAGTTAATGTTGGATTCTAGACATGAATCAGAAGTATGTGGGTTGGCAAATGTTTTCCTGCCAGTCTATTCGAAGTATAGTTTTTCTGAATGCTTGTAAACAGATTGAAACTTTTCAGTAGGAAAAGTTGACTTGATGAAAGGCTTGGTTTTAAGATGTAACGCTATCCTTGTTCAGTTGGAAACAAAAAAATTTTCAGTCTGACTGATACCTACATGAGAAGGGAGAAAGAGGAAGCACGAAGGTCATTTTTTACTGTTTTATGCCGTTGCTGTTTGACCCATTAGGCCATAATAGGATGCTCTGCAAGTGCTTAAAAATGTTTCCAGTGGGAGCGGGTAACTATGACCATCCCATCTCTTCAGTCATGTCTTTATTCAAATTTACACTTGTAATTTCAGAAATATGGTGACAAAAATGTATTAATTTTTTTTCCTTTGGCAGAGAATAGGTTTATTATACTTTTAGCACAACATGAAAAGTGTTTTCTGTCAAAATCACAGAATAACTACTTTATCAGAAAGCTAGGGATCTGCACCAATATGCTAACAGCTTATTACAAAGCCAAATATTTAAAGAAATAATGTATTGAAGAATCTGAGGAGGTATCTGAGACCTTGCAATTTTTATGAAAGTTAGTGTTAACTTGTGTAGTAATTTCCTGTTGTTCTCTGACATGTGAACTTCTCTATTTATGGTGACTTGACAAAAAATTCTTGACTGACCCTTATTATTTCACTTACTGTAAATCCGCTAAATAGAGTTCTAGCAATTGCTGCACCTGAGAATAGACACATCCTGTTTTCAGAAGAGATTACTAGTTAATCATACAGCATTCACGTTTTATCATTTTGTCTGTCCTGCTGAGTAGTTGGGTTTTGCAGATGCTCTTCAGCACATAACACTCAGATTCTGCTCACCATTGAATGTGATTACAAGAGACAGAGAATGTTTTGGTTTTGTCAAAATCCCATGCATCCCATGTTTCAATTACAAAATGCTTTATGAAAAAAAATTGGGGTTTTGGCAAAAACTTGCCAAAAGGGAAGGAAACTTGGCATTTCCTTCCTTGTCAATGGTTAAGTTTGGAATCATCTTATTGCAAAGCAGCCTTAATTATTTTTAAAAGCAAGTGTTGATAGAGCACCTTGTACTTGCAGCATAGTAAATGTTCAGGATGATTTTTATTTTAATTGGCTTTAACTTAGAAATAGTGAGGATATCAAAGGTTTGGAAAACTCTGTCTCATGTCTGTCATGCTATAAACTTTGAAAATAACTTTTTCTCTACCCCAAACAATCACTTCATTCAGTTTTGTTCTCCATTTAATATTGGGATTCTGCTGTAGTTTGCTTTGTCTTTTAAGAATATTAAACTCCCAGAAAGATGATTTTGGTTTATTAGCAACAAGTAATGAAAATAAAAATCAATACATTATAAAGCCAAAAAGGACAAAACAATAACATAAAACAACATAAACAACACTGAGCTGCATAAATATGGCCATCAGTATGTTCTGCATTAACTTCATTTTCAAATGTCTCTTAATCTTAATATTTCCCTTGATGGGACACCAGTACTTTTGAATTTCTTTGTTCATTTCTAACAGAGAACTGCACCTCCTTGGGTTTTTTTTTACAATTGACTCTTTCAGAATTGCACAAATAACTGTGTGCTCTGTATTCCAGCCCTGCTTTCTTCCTGTTTTTCTGTTGCAGATCTAAATATTTGACAAGAGCTAATTAGTTAACTTAAGTGATACAAATTTGATTTCAAAATAAGTATATTATAAATTTTGTCATTGCTGATAAGGGGAAGGCATTTAAGTGAGGTAATGGCTTTGTTACCTTCTTATGTGGTTTTGTGTACAGCTTTAAATAGGAATCTCTAATGGCTTGAATCTGAGTTATTTGGTGGAGAAATTTTGTTACAACATTTCACTGTTTTGATATGCCCCTGAATATTTTTTTTTTTGTAGATCATCCTAGGCTTTCTTTTTGTAGTGACTTAAAAAACCTTGGATCAGATTGTATGTGTGACATTTGACACTTTTTTGTACTGATCTACAGGCAGCAGTTAAATCAAAAAAGGCTACAGATACCTATAAACTATACGTGGAGAAATATGCTGCATTTAAATGTGATTTTGAACATAAAATGACAGAGACGGCACAGGTAAGTGTTACAAATAATAGTATTTAAAATATATAAATATATGCTATTTCATGTCTGAAGACCTGAAATCAAAGCTTTTGAAAAATTGGTTCAAGATAGAATGATCTCCTTTGGAAACTGATAGGAACAATAATGTCAGAAGTAGTATGTTTGAAGGCCAAACACTGACCGTGTATGTTATGAGGGCACTGTAGTTGAATTACACAGTTGAGCACTAGCACTCTAGAAAGACTTTTTGCAGAAATTTTTAGGAAGAAAACAAAATGAACTCCTGGAAGTATTGTAGATGCACTGTGATCATGTGGGAAATCCTGTGAATTGCTGAGCACCCAGAACTCATTTGTAGGAGTTTTATTATTGGGATCCATCATGTTTTTTTCATTATCATTCCAGCAAAACACTTTAGTTACAGCTTGTTTAAGTGTCTTCCCAGGTTTTACCTGAGGTTGAGAAAAGCCTTACATTTGATCAAGTTTCTGGGTTTTTTTAAAGACTTCTAATCTGTATTCCAGAGGATATCAAGTTCTCTGTATCATTGCATATGCTGCTTCTTGCACATTTTAAAGTCTCTTTTTCAAATCTTTTGATAGCAGACTTTCTTCCACTTCCCCAAGTTTCAAAGAGCAAACTTCATTGTTTCTACGTTCAGTAGTCAGTTGAGGACTGGTTGGCATATTTATTTGTGTATGTCTCTTGGTGTAGTAAAGCTTTTATAAGACAGTAATTTTCTTTTTGGTAGAAAATGCTTTGCTCTTTTCATTAGTTTCAAAGATTAATTTTTAGGCATAAATGGAATTATTAGGTAGATTCAGTCATAATTATATCTTTAAGTAGGAAAGTGTTAGGGTTTTCCTTAACCCCTTGGAAATTAAGATTTCACAGCATGGGGGTGGTGTAGGCTGACACGTAAAAAGCTGCTGTATCCTGAACTGTAAACTACTTTCCTACTTTGAGAACTTCATTAGAATTTGATCTAGTTCGTCTCTGAATAGATACTCAACACAGCTGTTAGAGAAAGGATGCCACATATATCACATACCAGAAGTCTTCCCTCCCACCCCCGATTCCAGGCATTTGCAACAAAGAAGTGCAGGCATGCTAATGCAAAATTCTGCTTTTAGCATAACTGTTACATTAGGAGTCTTGACAACCTTTCCTTGAAGAGTTTGCAGAAGGTATCTTGTGCATTAACCTGACTTGATTCTGGTTGGAGGAGCTGTATTCCCTGTGCTTTTCTTTTCAGTTTGAGTTCAATTTGGTTATGTACATAGTTTTTCTCTCCTTTTAAAAAATATGTAACTTTTAATGTTGTTTTTTTTTTTTTTTTTTTTTTATTGTGAAGTGTAAGACAGTGATGATTGCAGTTACTCTGTGGTATAAAAAGGCTTTATTAAAAATAAAGGTTCAAGAGGAAAATTCATGGGTACCATGGTCTAGGCCTGTTGTACTTTCTCACCTCTGATGTGTGAAGCTGTGTTTTCAATATATGTTTGAAGTTAGTATTGCTGTCAAAAGTAACAATTGTTCTATTTCCATGCTTCTTCCTCCGTCAAGTATTTTTGCGAGGCACTACCTTGTAGTACTAATCCAGCTAAAACTAATGTATGAAGGGAGGTTGGCTTTAACCCAGAAGAGACCTGTGGTCTGGTTTATTAAGAGATCACACAAGGATTTGTAATGGCACAGAAGCAGAGGCAAAGTGGTACCAGGAGCAGAGAATGGCATCTTTAAACTGTTTTAATGGGTGACACTGACCTGGACTCACTTGCATATGTGTGCAGCTTACACATTTGTATCTGTTGCCTTTGCATTGTGTGTCTCTCACTGTAACTTAAAATATTTGCATATCAGTTATATGTAGGCAATTTGACTGGGATTAGGATTGGAACTGGTGTCTGTGATTACAATCACTTGAGCATTTTGGGACTAGGTAACCTTTTTAAGCTTAACTAATATGTATCTTGAAACAATTCTTGGAAACAAGTATAATATAATAGCAACAAAAGAATTATTGAAGTGTAACATTCTTCCTGGAGAGTTTCCAGAAATAAGAGTTGGTGGAATCAGACTGACATGTGAGCACATACTGCTGCTACCCAAAATGGTAATTTTTTTTTTAGTGTTTCTGTTAATGTAACTGTTGTATTTGCTCACTAAGTGTTCCAGTAGCTCCATCATTGTGAGGTTTGTATAAATTGTAGCACAGCCTGACTTTTGCTGTAGACCCCACCTTTTGCTACAAAGGGATCAAGTAATACCAGAAAAAATACTGACCTGTTCCATTCATTTGTCTCAAGTCATGTACAAGTATGGCTCTTCTGGATCAAGAAATTCCTGCCCTGTTTTGTTATTTACCTTGATCTGGAAGTTACTGAACCCCCACTGAAATAGATCCTGTGAATGCTTCTGATCCACTGCAGAGCAAGTTCAGCCAGGTTGCTTTAAATCATCATTTAGTTTCACAAAAGCTGTCTGCTGTCTCTTTGCTCTCTGAAACAATAAGAATAAATTAAACAAATATGATTTCAATAAGCCAGCCTTGCTAAATTGCACTGTAAACTTGTCCCCTGTGAGTAAGAAAGCCGTGAGTAATGAAAAGTAGTTCTCCTATGGAACTGACAGAAGATAAACAAGAAGAGTATTTAAAATGGATTTTGTCAGTGAATTAGCAAAGCAAAATGTAGGGCTTTTCAGCAAGCAAACTAGCTGGGCTTTTCATTAGGTACTGAAAAAAAAATCCATTTGAACAATCCACTACAAAAAAAGAATGAGAAAAGTAACAGATTATTTTGTATCAACAGACAGAATATGAAGGTGCTCTTTGTTCAGCTTTCTTATTTGTGCTATTAGGTAGATATTATGTGTTTAAACCAGGCTGAGATGTAGAGAGAGAAAAAAAATCTTTTTACTCTATTGGATGTTACAGCTGGGAAAACCTCATCATCCTTTTTGGCTGCTTTGGTTTTGGTGGCATTTTTTGGGGGGGGGGTGTTGTTTTTTTCAGGGTGGGGGTGGGGGAGGGCAGTTAAGATCTTTTTTGTTTGGGTTTGGTTTTTTTCCCAATACAAAAAGGCTACAAAGTTACCTCTCACTTCAAACCACACTGGTCTAAACGCCCTTAGTTCCTTAACTGCAACTCTTTAACTTAAAATTTGCATTTTCACTTAATGTGATAATGGACACCTGGAAATTTTCCCCACCTGTCCACACTGGAAGCGAAAATTGCCATTTTGCCAGTATAAGTAGTATCTATGGAATTTAAGTATAGCAGTGTAGCTGCATCTACAGTTTGGTTGCAGGAAGGCTATTCTAAAGGTGATGCAACAGGAAAAATAACTACACCCATGACTATGTGGAAACCCACTTCTATATGAAGCATACCCTAGATTATCTTAGTTTACACTGCATTTCACTTGAAATATACTAGTTCCAAAACCAGAATCATTGAGGAGTGTGAATGTTCTCAGCTGTTTCAGTGCAAAATCAGTTGGCTTAGCTCAAATATGTCCTGTTGTGTTCACATACTATTCTTCTGAGGACAAACATCCTGAATTGTTGTGGCATTATTCTAGGTAATGATATAGTAATGTCCTCACTTAGCTGTCCTCTTTTCTTCGTTAAACTCGAATGATCTTGTGGTATAAATTTTATGTGTTTTCCTTCTTTCATCATTTACTATCTAACCTGAAATTTTCAAAGTGAAGTGACTCGTGATACATGATTTTGAGAGGATGAATTTTGAAACATGCAATCTTCCTAATCCTGAACTTCAGGTTACCTTTTTTTGCTGTGATAAACATGGAAGGTTTTATTCTGATTACAAAAGTAAGAAAATACAGTTCACTGTTGTTTAGAAATTGGATTTGACAGAAATTCCTCATGTTGCAAGATATTTCTCAGTAAACCCATAGTTGTATTATGCAATTCCTATGCTTTGCAAAGAAAACATGATTTCTTATTTGTCAGATTTTCCACCTTGCTAGAGGCTTTTTTTAAAATCACCTAGCATGGTCAATTATTGGAAAGGATCAAATAGCTGAAGGTGCTAAATTATTCTTTACAAGTCTTCTGTCTTACCTAGAACTGAGTAGAATTGAGTTTGGATGATTCTGCTGTTGAGCAGTCTGCATATAAATAAAGTTTCAGAATAAGTAATAATTCATTTTTAAAACACATTATAAAACTTACAGGAAAACATACATGTTTGTAAAAAGGAGTAATGCTTACTTAAGCTGTGTATACTGAGTTTGACAGCTAAAGATCTTGCTGATGATTTTTATTTGTATTGTAGCTTAAAACACTAAGAAGTGGCTTGCATATGTTGGGTCATTAACATTACAGATTCATTTCAGTACATCTTTTTAAATGGACTGATCTTTCAAAAGTGAAAATAAACAATTTGGTTAATTATTATATCTGGGATATAAATGATGTGGTTGTATTATACTACCGAGCCTTATTCTTTGATCAGGACCTCTTTATATTATGTCCTCTACAAGGCCAGGATGTCTCTTCTTCAAAGACTTTAAATCTTAAGTATGAAACAATAAACAAGAAATAAGGAGACAACTGGGGAAGAGGGATGCTTTCCACTAACATAAGATAAAAAAAATAATAAATCTCTGAATGGCCAACTGTTTTGATATTGGTTATAGAGAAGAGTTTACAGGAGAATGGTAAAATAATTTTAATCTGCTTGATTGATGGCTAGAGAGGTATGTAAATACAGCAAAAGAAAGACTGAGAGTTTAGAAGTTAAGATATTTGACTTATCTGTATGAAGGTTTTTTTTTTGAATCGGAGTAGCAGGAGGTGTGAAATGTGGAGATGGTCTTCAGAGAAGCTTGTGCAAATTGGAGAGAGGATTAAGTGGTGCTCCAAAGTTTGGACACACTTGAAAGGGCAGTTACAGAAATAGGAAGAGAACTAGGAAAGAGCAGGAGTAAACAAAGATTTCAAGACAATTATGGTTGACTGTTGGGGAGGATAGGGACATTTTTAGTTCTGATCTTTGGCTAAGAAGGGGTCACTGAAAACATTGGAAGTTATTTTAAAATGGCTGTCAGCTGGAAGTCTGAGTAAAATGGAACGAACTACAAAGATTATATATGGTGAGTTTAAAAATCAAACAAATTATATTTAAAGAAGCAAATTATATAAATTTATCTAGATAAAAAGAAAGCATGTGTATATTATGAGCAGGAGAAGAGGGTGCTAAGAAGGAAGTGCAAAACATGCAGAAATAAGATTTCTGGATTTAGATGAAAAAACGAGACTCTTCAGTAATAAAGAGATTTTTTTTAGAAAAACACCCTTTAACCCTATTTTCTTCTGGTAGAAATAGGTCAGATTCTTAAAAAATCAATATAGATGAAATTTTAAGGAGTAAGTGATAAAATTGGATAATGATTTTAAAAGGGTATATTTTAAACTACATTATTTCATAGCTCTGTTAATTCCACACCTTCCTTTCTTAAACATTGTAATTACCATAATAAAAATATTTCAGATTGGCTTTTTTTTTTATTTAGTGTATTTAATTATTAAAATTTAAGATTTAGTATTTTAAGAAATATTTTCATTATGATTAATTGCTTGTATTGGTTTACAGAAATTTCAAGACATTGAAGAAACACATCTCCTTCGTATGAAAGAGATTATAGAATCGTTGTCAAATACCATAAAAGAAATTCATTTACAAATAGGAGAGGTAATTTTATATTATCATTTGTTTGTTTGGATTATGCTACGTATTTTTCTTAATGATTAAGTGGAATATTTCTTACTGTGTTTGTGATTATTACAAGATCCCATTTCAAATGACGGTAAATTCAACATAAGCTCAAATTTGTATGGTTTCCTGTTGCATTTATAAGTTCAGCGTTGCAAAATGTACAGAATAAGTCTAAATAAATATTCTCTTAACAGAAAACAAAATATTTTTACACTTTGAAGAATTTTTTAGTGTATAGTAGATGTTAAATTAGCACTTATTTCACACATGGTTGGGATACTTGTGGTTTTTTTTCTTTGCCTAAAACTTGAAATTATATCACTCTGAAAAGTTTCCAAATTTTTTGTACTCAGGGTTTTATGAGCAAAAGATCTTCAGTGGCAGAAGCTTTTATAGTGTCTTTTCTTTATACGTTGTTTGTTTTATTAATAATCCTTATAACTTGTCCTTAATTTTTAGGTGTTCTGAAGTGTGGTTTTATTTGTGTACACTTAGAGACACTATTTTCCTCAGTTTCGAGGCTTTCTGCTAATGAATGATAGTCACAAGTGTCATGCTATTTATTTCTAAAGTATATACATGTTCGAAAAATTTTTATTAACAACATGTGGTTGGTCCTTTGACAGAACAAAAACATTACAACAGTACTGCTTTTACTCAAGCAGGTGGGAGCTGTGATAATACAGTAGGAACAGTTCACACCCTTAACTGGTGCTGGCTTAAGAGACTGCTTGTCTTCCTGACATTGTAGTGGGGCGTGTTGCTGAAAAATTCAGTAAATGATACATAAACAAGTCGTTTAGGTGGAAGAAATGGAAGTAAATCCTAGACCCATCATCAAGCTGTATTCTTTCATTCTTAATTTGTATTTGTATTGGACACACACTTCCTGATACTAAAGCAAAGGAGGAATTTCCTTGATAAAATGCCTGTTGTTCTCTGGAAGCCCTGTAATATATTTTAGAGGGAAGTATTTTGAACTTTAACTGTAGAGAAAAGTATTTCTTAAAGTTAATTACATTCTTTCAATTACTGGTGTGTAAATTCATTCTGTGTGTGGTGTGGTTTTTTTGAAGGTGCACGAAGAGTTTATTAATAACATGACAAATACTACCGTTGAGAGTTTAATACAGAAATTTGCTGAGTCAAAAGGAACTGGCAAGGAAAGACCTGGTAAGAGATTAAAAATAACAGAGTAGGAAATGTTCGTTGTAAAACTGTAGATTTCCACTCCTAATAAAAGGTCAAACCCCTGTTTGTTAATGTGTTATATTTTTAATGTACTTAGAGTTTCAAATTCTCAGAATTCATTAGCTTTTATATTAAATTATTTGTATGAATTGATAACACAATTTATTATGTAGGTGTAGTATTTGTGTTCATAAAGCATGGTAATTTATAGCTCTGAGTCCCTCTATGCAGACCTTCAAGGAAGGTTTTGAACTATACTGTTCTGTGGTACATCAGTGAAATTTGTCAAGGAACTCAAGGTTCTTGCACAAACTGTGTTGTCTGCTATGTGTTTCTGCATAAATTATATTTCAAAACTTTATTTAGTATAAATTTATGGATATATTCAGAACAGATGTCTATAAAGCTGCTTATTGAACTGTTGGAAAGGTTGCATCCGTTTATTTCATTAGCTTACAAACTTACCCATTTTAAAAGACTGTATGTAGATTGTTTCTTTACTCAGCAGCAAACTGAGTACTACTTTCTGAAAGTACTGCTTATTGGGTGTGGTGTATAAGACTTTCCCAGACTGGCATAAAAAGACAATCTCACAGTACTGTGTATCTAGCATTACAGGAAAAATGAAGAGTTCGCTTTTAATATCTGGGCATGAACACACCGTCATTAGCTGTATGAATACAGGAATTCAGTAGTACTCCTGTTTTCTTCAGCACTCAGAGTCCTGACTAGCATCTCTGTTGTCTAGTATAGAGGCACGGAGGTTTTTTTCGGAGCAAGGATGTACATAAGGGAGTAGATCTTGAGAATTTATATTAAATTGTTAAATATGATGACTAGGTATCTTACAATGCCTCTGTGAGGTCTTTTTAACATAACATTGTTTCATATTCTTTCTGTGATCCACAAATGCAGATTGCTGAGTGCGCTGAGGTAAGATTGTATATGGAACAGTTTTCAGATGTTTCCTGTCTGGTTTGCAATTTTTCAGCAAAGATTAAGAAAGGAAAATTAAGAACTTCAGGGGTTCAAGTTCATTGGTCTGACAAAGACACGTGAGCTGTTGCCAAGATACCATGGCCAGGGATCTCCACCTTGTATTTAGGATTCTGACTCCTTGGGTTACATTGCTAATGTACCCTAGAGCACTGTGCACTTCAATTCATCCATGTTACTAGTGTCTTTTTTTGCTAGACAACATAGTAAACATAAGAAAAGTAACACTTCACTTTTCAATTTAGTGGGAGAAGTTATACACACTCTGTACTTACCTTCTGCTTTAGAGAGTTGCTCAAATCCCATTTGTATTCTCTGGGGTCAAATAAAAGCTTTTGGCATAGGAAATGTCATTTCTTCAACTCTTTTAATAGCAAAGTATTCCGAGGAAAGATAGTGTGTTTAGTGTGGAAATATATGCACCTTGAATTTTCTTTTACAGTGTTAAATTCTTGTCTTGATTTCAACTTTGTAAAGCAGTCATGGTGCAGAGGGAAAGCACGGGCAAATTCAGCAGTAAAAGAATACAAATTCACAAGAAATTATGAAATGTCAAAGACTAGAAACACAGACCACTAGTGATGTCAATTAGGGTTACTGCTTCTATTGTATTAATTTTATTAACTTAGAATCATATAGCTTTGACAATTACAAAGATTTAGAAGGCAAAGTGATGTATCAGCCTTCTAAGAATGAAATTGAAACATCTAGTGTGGTGAGGACTACTTTTTCTTGATTAAAAAAATACTTTTCTGCATTTGACAACTGTTCTTAATAGAAAGGTATTTTAAGTCATGGAGCAAATGGAAGTCTTTCTGTGTGTGATGTATTTATTAATTAGGCTAATTAATTAGGCAAATTAATTAATTTGGAGAACGAGATGGCTCCTCAGATAAATTTAAATATTCAATGTAAATATGATACAGACTCGGTGTACAAAACAAATGTACAAAAAAGTCTTATAGATGTCACTGTTGTTTAAGATTCCAGGCCTAAATCTTTTTGAAGGAAACACTTTAATATTCCCCAGGACTATGTAGGCCTTCTCCCTTCCATATTTGTGGGCTGATATACTAAGTTAGATAGAGGCCTGCTTCCTGAAACACTGAATTTTGCTAACAAAATAAACTAAAAAGGTAATGGATAACAAAGTATTGTAGTTTATTTCAGTATATTCTAGCTAAAGTTCTTCATAGCAGAGTTCACTTGCTTTTATTTATATCTGTAAAAATAGGAACCAATCTGAAATGAAGTGCTGTGGAGGGCTGTTTTATTGCATGGACTATAAAAAAATTACAGCACCAGTTTTTAAATGTAGGCAATTAGCATATCTGAAATTTCTCTTTGTACAGTGATGTCCTTTGTACCAGATTATATGGGCTCCCTCTGGTGGCTAATTTCTGTCACCAGAATTCATAATGTACAGGGACTTGTAGAGTTTTAACACTTTTTCTAGTACAAACAGCGGTTCTTTCAAGGAGTAATGCTTTGTGAGGTTTTTGAAATTTCATTTATGGACTTCTTTACAATGGTTCTTTCTTAGCTGCCTCCTATATAACTTACCTAGTCAGCTTTTTCATCTATTTCATACTGAATTTACTTTAGTTTACAGTTCTTATTAATACAGTATTTGAAGAAATTGTATTTGTTATTTGTTTTCTCACTTCATTCAGTGTAAAAAAAAAATAGCCACATACATCCAGTTGCAAATCTTTTTAATTTTAACTGAAAAAAAAATCACTTATTGTGAAACATTTAAAACCAGGCAGTTTTTAATACTGCAATAACCAGTAGGGCTTCAGGTCAGAATTTAATGTGTCCTCTGAACCATTTCTAACATTCAGAGCGAGCTGGACAAGCTCGAGAAGTGGGTCCATGAGGTTCAACAAAGCCAAGTGCAAGGTCCTGCACTTGGGTTGGGGCAAGCCCTGATGTCAATACAGGCTGGGGGGTGAATGGATTGAGAGCAGCCCTGCCGAAAAGGACTTGGGAGTACTGTTGGATGAAAAGCTGGACACGAGCTGACAATGAGCGCTCGCAGCCCAGAAAGCCAACCATATCCTGGGCTGCATCAAAAGAAGTGTGGCCAGTAGGTCAAGGGGGGTGATTCTGCCCCTCTGCTCCACTCTGGTGAGACCCCACCTGGAGTGCTGTGTCCAGCTCTGGGTCCCCCAACATAAGAAGGACAGGGACCTGTTGGAGCGAGTCCGGAGGAGGGCCATGAGGATGATCCGAGGGCTGGAGCACCTGTCCTATGAGGAGAGGCTGAGAGACTTGGGGTTGTTCAGCCTGGAGAAGAGAAGGCTCTGGGGAGACCTTACTGCTGCCTTTCAGTACTTAAAGGGGGCTTAGAAGAGAGATGGGGACAAGAAATTAGGGCCTGTAGTAATACAACAAGGGGTAATGGTTTTAAAAGAGGGTAGATTCAGACTAGATATAAGGAAAAAAATTTTTACAATGAGTGTGGTGAACCAGTAGAACGGGTTGCCCGGAGAAGTTGTGAATGCCCCATCCCTGGAAGTGTTCAAAACCAGGTTGGATGGGGCCTGAGGAACCTGCTCTAGTTGACGATGTCCTTGTTCATTGCAGGGACATGTTGGCCTAGATAACCTTTGAAGGTTCTTTCCAACCCAAACTATTCTATGATATGTTCCTGCTGTTAGTTCTAATAGGACGTTTGATACCATTGGTTGAAAGATGCTTTTGTCACTCACATGGTCCTGCAGTGTTCTTCAAAACTTGTTGGCCACTTCTGATGAATCATTTTTCTGTTTGTGGTAGGCTGTTGCTCCCTGTTCTTTGGAAAAATCTTTTATTGTGTGGCAGAAAATGTCTGCTTTTCTTCCACCCAAAGTAAATGTTAAGTCAATAACAGAGATGATGTCTGTTGCAGATTAATGGCTGTCCAACATATCAATGAGTTCTAGCTTTATTTTCTCTATCTTGTAATAGTCTATCAAAAAAATTGTTTGTTCCAGTATGAAAAGTTGATGCCACATGAAATAGAAACTGCTGGGAAGTACTGTGTCACATTCTTCCTAGATGTTATGTCTGAAATTGGCAGGATAATATCTAATGTTTTTGAAGATGTTAGTGAATGCCTATATAACTGTAGTTGGTCATGAATTATTTTTAAATTTTAGCTACTGAACTACTGTGCCCTTTTCTCATATGTGGGGAGCTAACTGTGTGTGTTTGTCCCTGTATTGGTTTTTGCCCACTACACAGTTTACCCAGAAGGTACCATGAAGGCCAAATAAGAAGACTCAGCTGTGCTGCATTGTCAAAAAAAATGGGGATAAAAGCCAAATCTAGATGATTTGTTTTCTTGAGTTTGTTCTGCTGTCATTGTTAGTGGCTGTTGTTAATCTATCAAGTTGTTCCTCTTACTTTTGTATTTTTTCTCAAAAATTTAATAAAGGAGAAATCAAAATTTTTATGGTAATACAGACAAAAAGGGAACGCCATAATCTTTGCTGGCTCCTTAGCCATCAAATAAAACAATGGTATGCAGATGCCAATTATTACATATACTGTGCCATTATTCAGTGTGAGAGAGGTGCTGGGTCATCTTTTAATGACAATAAAAAAAAAAAAAATCATTGTTTTTGTGCTAGCTTGATCCATCTTTCACAATCTGAAGAAACCAGAACGTGATTTGCAGCTGCAACGCACAAATAAGCAGAGAAGATCTGGCAAAGAGGAATAGTCATGTGAGAGGTGTCTTCTAAGTGTACCAGTAAAAGCACCTAGAATTTGGGCTATGGAAACACAAGCCCTTAAAAATACTTCTTATCTCCTTTCATTATCCATCCAATAAATTTGAACTTTATGGATGGGCTAGAAGAAGTTTGTATTTTTTAAAACATGGTAAAATTAGTGCCTGCAGTCCATCAGCTTTTTGGATTAAATGATAAAAAAAGTGCTTTACAATGTTTATTATCCACAGTTGCTGTTGATCAGCCGTCATTGGCGCTTGCATCTGT